CAGTAAGGAAAGTAGTAAAGTCGGACTGGGCCGACTATATGATGCCCTTCTCCACTTTGGGTATATTCTACATATGTATCCTAACAGACGTCGCCTTTTCGGAGGAACATTGACATGAAATTGAGCAACCTTGAATCTGAATCTAACTCGATTTTCTCGAAACTTAACACACGAGCTAAGGTAGGGACAGATTTCCATCTCAAAGGCACGGAAATCCCCATGAACATGCAGAACACCATCAAGTGTAAATACAAATACAGGACAAAACACAAAAATTCTTTAAATACACTTGTCCTGAGCGAATAAATATATAAAAGAGGTTGTCAGAAATAATTCAACGTACAAAACATTCAATTATAGTAACTTCTGTACATTGTAAAAAATTGTGTATATTTGGGAGCTAAATCTATATCTGAACCGATTTTCAAGAAACTTAACATACGTAATTCTGGACTTTAGTCTGTATTCGGGACTTAATTCTGTATATCTGTTCGTGCAAATCGAAAGATATATAGGGACTTTGGAGCCCCGTTTACCTTAAATCGGACGAAAATATACATGGGTGGTATATATATATATATATATATATAGACGGACAGACGTACACAAAATCATGTTTTGGAGGTGTTTTTTTTTGGTCCCATGGAAAATATATAAATCAAGCTGGAGAATACTTTGGGAACCAATAAAAATATTTCGGATGATAAATATTAGTTTTCTCATTTCTAGGCTAGTAAAAAATATAATAGCCTTTTACAGATACATAGGTTGGAAATGCAATTGGTCGAAATAATAAGATTATACATACCATATTTGCATTATTTGTGTGCTAATGATAATAGAACACCACATAAGGATATGTAGATACAGGGTGAGATGAAAAAACTGCAACCAACTTCATACAGCTGTCATTTCTAAGCCACAAGTCCGACAGCTATTAAAAAAAATGATTATTTATGGAATGCAAGGGCGATAGTATGATTTCCTTATATTTGGCTGGAAAACGACAAGTGGCTATCGGTAGAGCACTCCTGCATTTAAATGTGAATAAATCTTTTGTGTCTCGTAGCATCGCTCGTTACCGTGATACTGATAACGTAGCCCGACGTCAAGGAAGTGGACGGAAGAAAACAGCAACATCAGTAGAAATGGTTGGAAAAGTAAAAAAGCAACTTGATCGAAACCCGCGTCGCAGTTGCCTAAAAATGGCTCGTGAGCTGAACATATCGGTAAAGCCGAACTTACACCGCAACAGAAATCAGGCGCCGGCCATGGTGATGGTGTGGGCCGCCATAAAACCGATGGTTGCTCTCCGCTCGTATTAATCGACCGTGGCATCAGAATAAATGCCGAATATTATCGCGAAAATATTCTGGAGTGTGTATAAAAGTCTTGGGCACACAAACATTTTGGCCGCAGACCTTGGACATTCCAACAGGGCTCAGCACCATCGCTCTCAGTACGTCCCACCCAAGTATGGTTACAAAATAAGGTTTCTCGCTTCCTTTCTAGAGCACAATGGCCACCTAAATCTCCGAATACCAATCCGTTGGACTATTGTGCCTGGTGTATTTTAGAAAGCAAGGTTGATATTAAAAGATACCAAAGGGTCGATCGCAGGGAATGGACCAAAATACCGCAGAGCAACATTCGGGCAGCGTGTGACGGTTTCATTGGCCATTTGAAGGCTATAATTCATGCCAAAGGTGACCAATTGCAACAAATCTCAACTTATTCTAAAATTTGATGATATTTCCGACATTTTATGATTTCATTCAATTAAATTTAAAAAAATGTAAAAATTATGGCGTTTGACTTTGTTGCAATTTTTTATCTCATCCTGTATATATTTCAGTATATCTCCAATATATGTCATTTAACATCAATAGAATATATATGGGATTAAAATCAATCATAATTCTTTCACAGTGTGTCAACTTTTCCGGATCGTGCCGTTAACTATTGAATATATACGGCATAATATGAAAAAATTTGTAATTTGTCAAACAAAAGTCGTGGTCTATTTGACACGCTTAATATTGGCCCTTCCCCTTGTACATTTTCGTGATGTTTGGGTCCTTAGCGTCTTTTGCCACAGCCGAACCTACAGGCACATTTCGTGACGATTGCTCCATAACTACGGCCCGTACATTGTTTACTAGTTATAGTAACATATACGGATACACATCGCCAGAGCAATTCTTCTAGACGATATACTAAAAGGTATCGTCCTCAATTTTCTCACCTTCATATATATCGGCAATATTGTCAATTTGTTAATATTCCATTTTTATACCCTTCACCACACTGTGGTACAGGATATTATGTCTTTGTGCATATGTTTGTAACAGGCAAACGGAAACGAGGTAGACACATGGGTCCTTATGAGAATATGCATATAATCACTTTCTGAGTTGATTTATGCATGTTCGTCCGTCCATCTGTTCATGTTAAATTGTAAACAAAGCGCAGGTCGCATTTATGATCCGAATTGATTATGATCTTCCGATTTACACGAAATTTGGCATAGCGTACTAAATAAGGTCGAGGATGATGTGTGCTAAGGTTCGTAAAAATCGGTTCACATTTAGATATAGCTCCCACATATATTTACGTCCGATTTAATGTATATGGAGTACCAAAGTTCCTGTATAGCTATCGATTTGCACGAAATTTGGCACAGCGAACTGAATTAAGTCTAGAATGATGTGTGAAAAGTTTCGTGGAAATCGGTTAAGATTTAAATATACATGCATACATACATAACTTCCATATATATTTCGAACGGGTGTCTGATTGACATTAAATTTTGAAGAGTGCGGCATGTATATAACGATCACATATTTAAGTTCGTTCAATTTCCCTCGAAGGAACATTGACATGAAACTGTTAGGAAACATATGTAGAATATACCCAATGTATGTGAATGCAAAATGTCTGAATAATAATATTTTTAAAAATATAATCGTGATAAATAATTCTGTAGAATTCCTCGATTGTGGCTTGAACAATTAATAGCTTCAAATAATATAAATGCATCATCCTATATATATATATATAAGTATAGAAATTTATATATAGAAAGTTTATTTATATGTTGAATAAGAACTGAGATATAGATCTCTAAACTAAAAGTGCCGAAGGTGCCCCAGTCTCCCCTACTTTGTTTACAATTTAACATGGCCTTTTAAGAGCTTTGGAAAAATATTATTTTAAAAATCCACGCCTTTTAAGAGCTTTGGAAAAATATTATTTTAAAAATCCACGCCTTTTAAGAGCTTTGGAAAAATATTCTTTTAAAAATCCACGCCTTTTAAGAGCTTTGAAAAAATATTCTTTTAAAAATCCACGCCTTTTAAGAGCTTTGGAAAAATATTATTTTAAAAATCCACGCCTTTTAAGAGCTTTGGAAAAATATTATTTTAAAAATCCACGCCTTTTAAGAGCTTTGGAAAAATATTATTTTAAAAATCCACGCCTTTTAAGAGCTTTGGAAAAATATTATTTTAAAAATCCACGCCTTTTAAGAGCTTTGGAAAAATATTATTTTAAAAATCCACGCTTTTAAGAGCTTTTAAAAATCCACGAGCTTTGGAAAAATATTATTTTAAAAATCCACGCCTTTTAAGAGCTTTGGAAAAATATTATTTTAAAAATCCACGCCTTTTAAGAGCTTTGGAAAAATATTATTTTAAAAATCCACGCCTTTTAAGAGCTTTGGAAAAATATTATTTTAAAAATCCACGCCTTTTAAGAGCTTTGGAAAAATATTATTTAAAAAAATGCACGCCTTTTAAGTGCTTTGGAAAAATATTATTTAAAAAAATCCACGCCTTTTAAGAGCTTTGGAAAAATATTATTTTAAAAATCCACGCCTTTTAAGAGCTTTGGAAAAATATTCTTTTAAAAATCCACGCCTTTTAAGAGCTTTGGAAAAATATTAGCTTTGGAAAAATAAAAATCCACGCCTTTTAAGAGCTTTGGAAAAATATTATTTTAAAAATCCACGCCTTTTAAGAGCTTTGGAAAAATATTATTTTAAAAATCCACGCCTTTTAAGAGCTTTGGAAAAATATTATTTTAAAAATCCACGCCTTTTAAGAGCATTGGAAAAATATTCTTTTAAAAATCCACGTATTTTAAGAGCTTTGAAAAAATATTCTTCTAAAAATTTACGTCTTTTAAGAGCTTTGGAAAAATATTCTTCCACGCCTTATAAGAGCTTCCAACAAATAGAAAACCCACATATTATAAGAGCCTTGAAAAAATATTCTTTAGAAAACCCACGCCTTAAAAGCATTGAACTGTTTTCTTTTAAAAATACACGCTTTATTGGGATGTAGAAAGAATATTCTTTTAATTCACGCCTTGTAGAAAAATATTCTTTACAAAATGTTCGGCTTTTTGTAAAAAATAAAGACAACTATAAAATAATTATTTTAATAATTATTTATTTTTTTTTCGTATTAAAAATATTTTTAATTTTTGTATTAAAAATATATATTTTTCTTTATATAACTAATATCACGTTGGCAAAATCGGCAACCTTGCGAAATTTGTTTTTAAATTCGTTGATACAATAAAAAAATCTACCCACACTAAGTTACCCAAAATACACATTCATACAAACATACTTAGTATAATTATAAAAAATAAGACTTACATCTAGGAAGCCTATGGGAAAATTGTCAGGACCCATTGAAAAATAAATGAGGATTCAAATAGATGCAAACATCGATAAGCCTTTAATGGGATTTTATAAGACTTCAATGGCCATCCAAGGCTCGGCTTCTTGAATTTAGTTTTTGCCACGCTTCATAAATCCATTTTCGATGTACATAAATTATCCTGTATATTTTTTTCAATATAACCTGATCCGTTTGTATGGTCTCAGGCTACAGATATTAATGCTTTCAATTTTCCCCTTAGACTTTTAAGCTATTACCACCCCAAGGCTACTTAAATCTAAACTTTGTACAGATTTTGTTCTTCAACACAACCTTCCTACTTCCCCTCCTCAATATTTATAGGTGGTGAAATTTAAATATTTCACCAAAATATGATTGACATATTGAAATATACGATTTGTGGCACCATTCGATGCGGACAAACGATCCTTGATTAGTACAAAGGCCAGCGAGGTACAAACGATATAATAGATCACCAAGAAAAATATCGAAGTCCAATAATTCAAATTGACATAACCTAAAATTTCACGCAAAAATTTGGCATTTTTAAAGGGGCAAAGCATTTCGGTGACGGGGCAAATTGTATCGGCACGATCATAGCCATATAGAGTCTCGACCAAGGCTTCCATGCTATGACGCAAATAACTGAAATTCATAATGAAACGCATAAACGGCGATATGTCACGGCCATAGCCAATGCCATAGCAGGACAATAGGATAAGGGGTACGGCAAGTACGGGGCCCATGAACATGGCGTTCTACAGAAGGAAGAAAATAAGTTATCTTTGATATTTCGATGGAAGATTTTGAGGGACATTAACTTACCACCAAACTCAATCGCGATGACACCAACATGCCCACACTATCCGAAATCTGGGCAGTCAGTATGGCCACCAGGAACAACATGGCAAAACGAAATAATTCCAAGGGTTGATTTGACATCAAATACACCATGGTTAAGTAGATGACGGCCAATAGGAACATATAGGGGAAGCGGGACGTGATCATGGCCAAATAATAGGAACTCAATTTGTACCATTGATTGAAATATTCACGCTTCAAGAGTTTCATTTCGGTGGGAACTAAAAAGGAAATACATATGAAAATCATTAAAAAATTAAAAAAAAAACGCAGATCCATCTCTACTCACATTGTGCCAGCACCGGCATCAGTGGCAAATATAGATACGCTATCACAATGGTAAAGGCAAAGCCGAAATTAAACAACGCCTTACTGGCATCATTGCCCACTCCGATATAGATCCCACCGACAATCAGGCCCAAAATAATATTCATATAGAATCGCAATTTTATATATGATTTATCACGCCACATTTTTGTCAGCATATGATAGAGGAGGATACGATATTGCAGCCACCATGAACAGTGGGATTTTAGTGAATTTTTATCAATTTCCATTTCAAATTCTTCCAATTCATTAAGTGATGAAGCTCCCGAGGATGCTCCCGATGTGGTGTTGGATGTTGTGGGTGATATTGACTTTAGCTCGTTGTATCGACCATTGGGCATCCAGCGATAGACATTACCATTATCCACGGCATTAACCATTTGTTTGTGATAATCACCATATTCGCGGCAGGCAACTTCGATGACTGGAATGATAAAGATAAAGGAAAAACAAAATAATGCAAAAATAATGCAAAAAAATAGACACCTCATATGGGCCTTGAAAAATTTATCTTTAAAAATCTACGCCTCATATAGACATTCAAAAATGTATCTTTAAAAATCTACGCCTCATATAGACATTCAAAAATGTATCTTTAAAAAATCTACGCCTCATATAGACATTGAAAAAAATATTCTTTAAAAAAACCTACACCATGTAAGAGCCTCGACAAAATCTACCCCTTGTTTAGGCTTTGAAAAATATTCTTTAAAAAATCTATGCCTTCTTTCGGCCTTGAAAAAATATTCTTAAAAAAATCCACGCCTCATATGGGCATTGAAAAAATATTCTTAAAAAAATCCACGCCTCATATGGGCCTTGAAAAAATATTCTTAAAAAAATCCACGCCTCATATGGGTCTTGAAAAAATATTCTTAAAAAAATCCACGCCTCATATGGGCCTTGAAAAAATATTCTTAAAAAAATCCACGCCTCATATGGGCCTTGAAAAAATATTCTTAAAAAAATCCACGCCTCATATGGGTCTTGAAAAAATATTCTTAAAAAAATCCACGCCTCATATGGGCCTTGAAAAAATATTCTTAAAAAAATCCACGCCTCATATGGGCCTTGAAAAAATATTCTTAAAAAAATCCACGCCTCATATGGGCCTTGAAAAAATATTCTTAAAAAAATCCACGCCTCATATGGGCCTTGAAAAAATATTCTTTAAAAAATCCACGCCTCATATGGGCCTTGGAATAATATTCATTAAAAAATCCACGCCTCATATGGGCATTGAAAAAATATTCATTAAAAAATCCAAGCCTCATATGGGCCTTGAAAAAATATTCATTAAAAAATCCAAGCCTCATGTGGGCCTTGAAAAAATATTCTTTAAAAAATCCACGCCTCATATGGGCATTGAAAAAATATTCTTTAAAAAATCCACGCCTCACATGGGCATTGAAAAAATAATCTTTAAAAAATCCACGCCTCATATAGGCCTTGAAAAAATATTCGTTTAAAAAATCCACGCCTTATATTAGGCCTTGAAAAAATATCCACGCCTTGGCCTTGAAAAAATATCCACGCCTTGGCCTTGAAAAAATATCCACGCCTTGGCCTTGAAAAAATATCCACGCCTTGGCCTTGAAAAAATATTCGTTTAAAAAATCCACGCCTTGGCCTTGAAAAAATATTCGTTTAAAAAATCCACGCCTTAGCCTTGAAAAAATATTCGTTTAAAAAATCCACGCCTTGGCCTTGAAAAAATATTCGTTTAAAAAATCCACGCCTTGGCCTTGAAAAAATATTCGTTTAAAAAATCCATACCTTGGCCTTGAAAAAAATATTCGTTTAAAAAATTCATGCCTTATTGGCGACATATGGGTTAAACATAAAACAGCTATAAATTAGAGCATACTTTTAGGAGTTTCTTTGTAAATAGTCCTTAATCATTTTCGATTTGAGTTTTCATTAATGAATACATTTCTCAAATGAACAAACAATAATTTATTTGAATTGCTTTCAGTATATACAAGGGGCCCGCCCATTTCTTGACCTTGAGATTCTAAATATATGACATCGGGTACCAACCATAACCTATCTCATTTTTTCAATGAATTAAAAAAATAATAACCCAGTTAACAAAACGATCACTTAATATTGTAATTATAGGGTAAAACTTTATAACTGAACGACCTACTAATATTAGTAGAACAGCAGTAACAAACCGATACCCTTAATTATCGTCTATTAAATAGGACTGAATTGAAAATATCGTAAAATATTAAAATCTCAATAATAACCATGTGAATTAATTTGACAAGCTAAGTGATAATTAAATTAATTATCACAATATATACTTAACAAACAAATATTTTAATACTTACAAAAATCAGCTGGATTATAGGTTAGGGGACAGGACAGCCCAATTTCCTTTAAATATGGAACAATGTTGCCCACACTACCCTGATAGACACACTGGCCCTCAGCCAGTACATAAACCTTATCAAACTTTTGAAACAATTTGGCAGGTGGTGTGTGTATGGAACATATAATGGTGCGTCCAGAATGGGCTAGGCGACGCAACAGGGAGACACACTGGGAACTGGAGAGATCATCTAGGCCTCTGAAAAAATAGAAAATTTCAATTTCATATTCCTCAAAATGATCTTCAAAGAGGCACCTACGTCGTTGGCTCATCGAGAAATAAAACCGGTGGATTATTCACCAATTCCATGGCAACACACAGGCGTTTGCGCTCTCCACCCGACAAACGACCCGCCACTGTATTAGCTGTCTTTTCCAGTCGCAACATATTTAAAATTTCTTCAATAACTTCCAGCTTCTGTGTTTGGTTTAAATCATTCCCCAATTTTAAGTTGGCCGCCAACATCATTGCCTCCATAACGGTGAAATATGGATCCACAATATCATTTTGCATTATATAGCGGGACATTTTGCGAAATAATCTAGGATCTCGGGGATTGCGGTTAATGTTGATGTAACCGGAATAATTGGAAATTCTGGAAAAAAAATTAATATCAATATATTCAAGAGGATCTTTGGTATACTTAATAGCTACTTACCCAAATCCTGCTAATAAATTAAGTAACGTTGTTTTACCGGCTCCAGAAGGACCCATAATGGCTGTCAGCTCGTGGGACTTGAATTCGCCGCTGATGTTGTTTAGGATTTTCTTTTTTCCTATAAAAACAAAAACCAAATACAATTTTTTAGAAATATTTCTTCAAGACCTAAACAATGCGTGGATTTTTTAAAGAATATTTTTTTCAAGGCCAAAACAAGAATAATTTTTCGAGGCCTATATGAGGCGTGGATTTTTTAAAGAATATTTTTTCAAGGCCTATATGAGGCGTGGATTTTTTAAAGAATATTTTTTCAAGGCCTATGTGAGAATGGATTTTTTAAAGAATATTTTCAAGGCTTTCAAGGCGTGGATTTTTTAAAGAATATTTTTTCAAGGCTTAAACAAGGCGTGGATTTTTTAAAGAATATTTTTTCAAGGCCAAGAAGTGGATTTTTTAAAGAATATTTTTTCAAGTCCAAGAAGTGGATTTTTTAAAGAATATCTTTTCAAGGCTTAAACAAGGCGTGGATTTTTTAAAGAATATTTTTTCAAGGCTTAAACAAGGCGTGGATTTTTTAAAGAATATTTTTTCAAGGCTTAAACAAGGCGTGGATTTTTTTAAGAATATTTTTTCAAGGCCAAGAAGTGGATTTTTTAAAGAATATTTTTTCAAGGCTTAAACAAGGCGTGGATTTTTTAAAGAATATTTTTTCAAGGCCTAAACAAGGCGTGGATTTTTTAAAGAATATTTTTTTAAGGCCTATATGAGGCGTGGATTTTTTAAAGAATATTTTTTCAAGGCCTATATGAGGCGTGGATTTTTTAAAGAATATTTTTTCAAGGCCTATATGAGGCGTGGATTTTTTAAAGAATATTTTTTCAAGGCCTATAGGAGGCGTGGATTTTTTTTAAAAATATTTTTTCAAGGCCTATATGAGGCGAGGATTTTTTAAAGAATATTTTTTCAAGGCCTATATGAGGCGTGGATTTTTTAAAGAAAAAGATTTTTTTAAGGTCCTACAAGGCGTGAATTTTTTAAAGATTAGTTTTTCAAGGCCTATAAAAGGCGTGGATTTTTTAAAGATTAGTTTTTCAAGGCCTATAAAAGGCGTGGATTTTTTAAAGATTAGTTTTTCAAGGCCTATAAAAGACGTGGATTTTTTAAAGATTATTTTTTCAAGGCCTATAAAAGACGTGGATTTTTTAAAGAATAATTGTTTAACTCACCCTGATTTGGATCCGAAACACTGTACGTTAAATCACGAAACTGTAAATTGACCGCTGGCCATCGTGGTAGATATTTCAAACCATTACTGGTGCTGCATGTTGAAATCCCATCGTCCGATGTTACAGGCAAGTCCACACTGATGGCATTGATGTCGGTGCTGTAATTAAGCGATGTGCCACTCTGCGACTTGTAACTCTCATCCATTGAGTAAGTGCAACCAATGTCTGTGGAATCCATTGTTGCAACGTGCTTGCTGTGTGTGCCTTATTCGATGCAGTAAAAATACGTCTTTCAAGTTGTCGGCAGCTGCGATGTTGTAAGTTTGAGTTGCGGCTAGCGCTGTTTGTAATGCGCTCTTGGCCGGCTAGTTGTGGCTAATGGTTGCAAGTTTATTGTCGACTAAATGGAACAAAGAAAAAAATGCGGTGCTGGCCGGAGACGTTGTTGTCGGCAATGTTGTTGTGCTTCTAGCATCAGAAATTTCTCAAGTCCAAGTTGTAAACGTCTATTGTGTTTGTTGTAGTTCCTTACAATTACAAATATTTCTCGTGTGACTTTATTGCATTTTGTTTTGAATTGTAAAAAAGTATTATTGTTATGTTGTTGTAGTTCTCTCTACAAATGGTTGTCAGTCTTCTATCATGCTAAAAACGAATGTTGACTGCTGCCGGTCAGGTATCTCCAATCGACGTTATTTAGAAAAAAAAAAAATAATGAGAAATTATCTAAAAATGAGACAGACAATAAAGAATAGAAACAACAACAATTAGAATGGCAATATATTATAATTAGAAGTTATTGTGAAAATTATTGATCGATGGATAAATTGGATGGATGCTAGGGGTTTGTGTAAAATTATAATTATACAAAAGAAAAAAAATGATGAGGTGCTGATTTCAATATATAAAACACTGTTCGACAGTTGCGACTGCAGATTGATTGATGGACCTTTCAAAATAGAAATTTTATTTCGATCAAATGTCAAGGTGAGACATTGTAATTTATTTAGATGGAAAAAATTGAACATGCTAAGGCATGGAACTTTTAAAGAATATTTCTCCAAGGCCTAATAAGGCCGGAATTTTTTAAAGAATATTTCTTCAAGGCCTTATAAAGCAAGAATTTTTTAAGGTCTACAGATGGGTGGATATTTTAAAATAATTTTTTTCAAAGCCTACAGATGCGTAGATTTTTTAAAATATTTTTGTTAAGGTCCTCAGACGTGGATTCTTTTAAAATAAGTTTTTTAACGGCTATATAACAAGTCGATTTTTGAAAATAATTTTTTCAAGGTCTTCAGAGACGTGGATGTTTTAAAAAAATTTTTTCAAGGTCTATAGAGGCGTGGATTTTTTAAAACAAATGTTTACAAGCTCTATGGGGGCGTGGATTTTTTAAAATAAATGTTTTCAAGGTCTATAGAGGCGTGGATTTTTTAAAATAATTTGTTTAAGGTTTCCAAAGGCGAGGATCTTTTAAAGAATATTTTTTTCTAGAGCCAAAACAGTCCTAGATTTTTTAAAGAATATTTTCTCAAGTGCCAAAACAGTCGTGGATTTTTTAAAGAATATTTTTCCTGGTGCCAACACAAGCGTGTATTTTTTACAACATTTTTTTCTGGGGCCAACGGAGGCGTGGATTTTTTAAAGAATATTTTTTCTAGGACTAAAACAGGCTTGGGTTTTTAAGGAATATTTTTCTAGGGTCAACACAGGCGTGTATTTTTTAAAGAGTATTTTTTTAGGACTTAAACAGACGTGGGTTTCTTTAAGAAAATTATTACTAGGACTAAAACAGGCGTGGTTATATTAAAGAATATTTTTTGAAGGGCGTGGTTATATTAAAGAATATTTTTTAAAGGGCGTGGTTATATTGAAGAATATTTTTTCAAGGGCGTGGTTATATTAAAGAATATTTTTTGAAGGGCCTGGTTATATTAAAGAATATTTTTTGAAGGACCTGGTTATATTAAAGAATATTTTTTAAAGGGCGTGGTTATATTGAAGAATATTTTTCATGGGTGTGGATTTTTTAAAGAATATTTTTTCAAGGGTGTGGATTTTTTAAGGAATATGTTTTCAAGGGCGTGGTTGTAGTAAAGAATACTTTTTCAAGGGCGTGGTTATATTAAAAAGCATTTGTTCAAGGGCGTGGTTATATTAAAGAATATTTTTTCAAAGGGGTGGTTATATTAAATAATATTTTTTCAAGGGCGTGGTTATATTAAAGAATACATTTTCAAGGGCGTGGTTATAGTAAAGAATATATTTTCAAGGGCGTGGTTATAGTAAAGAATATTTTTCAAGGGCGTGGTTATATTAAAGAATATTTTTTCAATGGCGTGGTTATATTAAAGAATATTTTTTCAAGGGCGTGGTTATATTAAAGAATATATTTTCAAGAGCGTGATAAATACTATTTTTTCAAGGGCGTGGTTATATTGAAGACTTTATAAGGGGTTTTTAGACGAACATTTTTTGAAGACTTTATAAGGGGTTTTTAGACGAACATTTTTTGAAGACTTTATAAGGAATTGATAGTTCAGATGAATACTTTTTGAAGACTTTATAAGGAATTGATAGTTTAGATGAATATTTTTTCAAGCCTTTTTTAAGACGTTGTTTTAAAGAATGTGTGTTTCAAGGGTCAAGGTGTATTTTTTAAGGTCAATCAAGGCTTGTAGTCTTTAAACAATATTTTTTAGGATCTATCCAAGACGCGTACTTTGTAAAGAAAATGTTTTCAAGGGCTATCCAAGTCCTGTATTTAAAAAAAAATAATAATAATTTTTTCAATGCTTATAAAAGGCGTGTATTTTTTTAACGAATATTATTTCAAGTGTAAACATGTGTTTAGTAGTGACCGGAAAAATAAACACGTGAAATAATATTTTGAAATAAAACTGTTTATATTAGAATTTAATTGCAAGTTTTCTGAATAAGTTGTGATAGATGCTGACAGTAATTTTCGAACTAATGGGAATTGCTAATTATTTTACAGCAGCCCTTTGTAAATCTAAAATGTAAATCGCTGTACTTAAATAATGCAATAAAATAATAGTAGCCACAACAATTGACTGCCTTTCTATATTCAGATAAAACTAATTAAATACATATTGAAACCAATTAAACATTATTCGTAGTGAATGTTCGTTACCATTTTAACAAATATTCTTTAAAAAGCCTATATTCGTTCAAAAAAAAAAAAAAAAATTGTTTCAAAATCCACGCCTATAGCTCAGTTTATCCTTGAAGAAATATTGTTTCAAAATCCACGCCTATAGCTCAGTTTATCCTTGAAGAAATATTGTTTCAAAATCCACGCCTATAGCTCAGTTTATCCTTGAAGAAATATTGTTTCAAAATCCACGCCTATAGCTCAGTTTATCCTTGAAGAAATATTGTTTCAAAATCCAGCCCTAATCCTTGAAGAATCCTTGAAGGACTTTGGCCCTTATAATCCTTGAAGACATATTCAAGTCGCATGTGTTTCTAATAATCCTTAAAATGGCTATTATAATTCTATAAGAAATATTCTAAACGTGTTTTAAATATAATAAAAATATTAACACTTCAATTGTTCCATTGTGGGACGTGGGGGGTCCCCTTAAATATAATAAAAATATTAACACTTCAATTGTTCCATTCTGGGACGTTCAAGGCACGAGTTTCCATCGAATTTCACCTAACATCCAACACAATCCTAGTATTTTTTATAAATTATATATATTTTTTGCTCATTATTATCTAGTAATTATTTGCCATAATCGACTATTTTAACAAATATGGCTCTATTAATGAATAATTAATTATTTGTCCCTTTTATGATTCATTGATTCTGCTGCGAATCTAGCCAATTTGTTTGAGTCAATTTGAGAATATAACTCATATTTTGTTGTTATTGTAATGACGTGTAAATTCATAAGCTGTAAAATGTAAAGTGATCGGACAAAGGTTAGATTGTCATATGGCGGAATGCATGTTAATGATCGTTACGAACAATGAATGTTACTAACAATCGGTTTGATGCAGTTTGAGGGGAGAGTGGGCGGTTGTTTTCGAATCGCAGCTATGTGACTCAGAAAATGTGGCTATAAAAAAACAGTAAGGAAAGTAGTAAAGTCGGACTTAGCCGACTATATGATACCCTTCATCACTTTGTGTATATTGTACATATGTATCCTTACAATTGTATGTCAATGTTCCCTCGAAAGTACGGTATGCCAAATTTCGTGCAAATCAAAAACCATATTTGGACTTTGGTGCACCATTTACATTAAATCCGACGAAATATATGAAGGGCTTTATCTAAATCTGAACCGATTTTCACGAAACCTAGCACACATCATTTCGATTTTCACGAAACATAGCACACATTATTCTAGACTCAATTCGGACGAAAATATATATGGGAGCTCTATATAAATCTGAACCGATTTTTACGAAACTTAACACACATCATTCAAGACTTAGTTCAGTACGCTGTGCCAAATTTTGTGCAAATCGCAAGATAAATAGGGACTTTGGTGCACCATTTGTCTTAAATCGGACTATTATATATGGGAGCTATATTTAAATCTGAACCGATTTTCATGAAACTTAGCACGCATCATTCTAGGCTTAATTCAGTACGCTGTGCCAAATTTTGTGCAAATCGAAGATATTTAGGGAATTTGGTGCACCATTTACCTTAAATCGGAAGAAAATATATATGGGAGCAATATCTAAATCTGAACCGATTTTCATGATACTTAACACACATCATTCAAGGCTTAGTTCAGTACGATGTGCCAAATTTCGTGCAAATCGAAAGATATTTATTGACTTTGGTGCGTCATTTCTCTTAAATCGGACGAAAATATATATGGGAGCTATATCAAAATCTGAACCGATTTTCATGATACTTAGCACACATCATTCAAGACTGAATTCAGTACACTGTGCCAATTTTCGTGCAATTCACAAGATAAATAGGGACTTTGGTGCACCATTTGTCATAAATCGGACTAATATATATGGGAGCCAGGGACGTAAGCAGGGGGCGGCCCGGGGGGCCCGGGAAATGATTTTTTTTCACAGTAAATTTTAGTTTCCAACAGCGAATTTTTTCATTTTGTACTACCGGGCCCCTCCCGAAATGAAATCCTGTTTACGTTGCTGATAGGAGCTATATTTAAATCTGAACCAATTTTCACGAAACTTAGCACACATCTATCGAGGCTCAATTTAGTACGCTGTGCCAAATTTCGTCCAA